AACCGAGAAAATGACGTCATAAGCTACGTCCATTTTCCGCTCCTCTGGTTGTATGCTTAATGGGTAGGGAAAACTTAAATTGATCTATCTCCGTATATATAAATTATAGAACAACAAACTATACCTCAAAATGTTTCTATTTAAGTCTTCTATAATTCTGCATGTTAATTATGCAAATTAATATGCAAATAAGGGCAACAGAGGTCAAAAGTTCACAAATTCTGGTGCAAAGTGAAAATCTGTACTTGTCCAAGAAAATGTGGCCTATAGTAAGCAATTTTCTAATTTTGAGACAAATACTGCATGAACTCTTTATATTAGATCCACCCAAGCCTATCAATATGCATCTTTAACCCTTTCATGTTTCATAATGTTATACAACATCAGATCAAAAAAAGTAAAAAATCGAAAGGCATATTTGTTTAATCATTCATTTCTTCTACAACAGATGGCCCTATGCCTTCTTTGATGTAGGGGGATTGGGATCTTCATCTCCAGGCAGTTCAGGCCCTTCTTCCTGTAATGGCAGCTTTTGATTCCACCAACTACCTGAGATGGTGTTTGCTGTATTTAGAGGACATGCGCAAGCTACCTGAAACGGCACTATTCATATTTGAAGAATTTAAGGCAGGCAAATTTGTGGTCAAGCAAACCCCTGGAAGGTTCAATGCAGTTGGGGTTGGCTGATATGGCCTTGGAACAAACCATAAATAGATCCCAAAAGAGTGCCTCTGGTATAATTGGAAACACCCGGAAGAAGAAGTTCGTAGCAATGTGGAAGCTGATCTACCATGAAATGCTGGCCATCGACAATTTGCACAGGAACTTGTGTGGAGTGACCAAAAACCTGTCGGAGGAAAGTGCTATCAGCAAAGCTAAGATAGCAACGGGGGAACAAAAAGTTCAAGACATACTTACAACAATACAGCGGAATGAGAATCCGTTCTAGTTGACTCCTGAACAAGTGAAACTTCATAACATTTTGACCCAAGAAGTCATGTCTGAAGATATCAGAAGCCAGCTACTTTTGGTCAAAGAAATCGGAACCAAAGCCTATGACACACTTAGAAAGGAGCGATTTATTGACAAGTTAATGAGATTCTCCTCAACCATCCATAGAACCAACCTGAAGACGTTTCTCAGCATCCATAGGCCAGAAAAAGAAGTCAAAAGAAAATCCTCAGGAAAAAAAAAAGACTCCTATATGAAAAAATTGATTGAGATAGCGCGTGCCCGTAGACAAACAATGGAAGAGCTGTTGCAATATGATGTGTCCCCTTCGTCCTATTTGTTAGATCAAGAAGGGCTAATGACCAAACCTGTGAAAAGTGCACTGGTACAGGAACTAGAAGCCAAACTTACAAATGATGATGGGAGAGAGCCGGCAACCGAACTCTAAAATGCAAACAGCATGTTTAGTTAATATGATGGCCAACGTTAGAAAGCTAAAAACAAAAGACCTACGGACATTCGGAGACTTCTGTGAACATTTTCTGGACTACGTCGCTGCAATCGGTCGAGGGCTGACAGATCAGACTTGATCTTTAATTCCTATGTTGAAGAATCCATCTAAGATTCAGAGAGAAAGCGGCGTCAAGTGAAAGCACCCATTGAGATAAATATCATCAACTGCGACACACCACTGCTTGTTGAGATGGACAGATTTTGGGCATCAAGCGAAAATAAGTTGAAGCTCTAGATGCTGCTTCATGAGCACACAATAAAGCGCAGGATGGAGCAACCTTCCAAACTCCAAGTTGTAGCCAGTGGCTTTTCTGGGGACTCAGACGTTGTTGTCTGCCAGTCAGTTTAGGATGGTTGTTCAGCAGAAATTCCAGAATTTTGTCAAGATATTGAAGAGGCTGATGCTCGCATAATCCCCCATGCAATGCATGCAGTAAAAAACGGAGCAAGACGAATTGTTGTCCTGTCGAGTGACACCGATGTCTTCATACTTCTCATGCACTACTGGAATGTTCTTTACTCCATTGGCCTAAGTGAAATCTGGCTCAGAGCTGGTGTTGGGGATTAGACAAGATACATCCCAGTTCACACCTTAGCATCAAGAGTCGGGCTAGAGTTGTGCTATGTGCTGCGACTTCTCCATACGTTGACTGGTTGCGACTATACAAGCAAGGTGGGAACAAAGCATGCGGCCTTCAATAATATTAATCCTATCCTTAAGAGTTCTTGAATAATTTTGATTATGGAACAAGCTGTAGTGAGACCATCATGACATCCTGTGAAGAGTACCTCGTACAAGTCATCAAAAAGAACACCAATTGCAAGACAATGAATAGACTTAGAGACTACATGTACCATTACAGTAAAGGTATATCGTTGGAGCAACTTCCCCTAACTAGCCATGCAATACAGCAGCACATCCTGAGGGCATATTACTCAACCTACCACATAATGACTTTGTTGCCGCCTCATAAACCAAGAAAACTAGATCCTACTGTCTTTGGCTTTAAGGAAGCAGATAAAATTCTAGTGCCTGTGAAAGCTGTGTGATCAATTCCTGAGGAATACACAGTCATTTGCAGATGTCAGCGTCAGATGTGCATGTCGCAAAAAAGGACTGCCTTGCATTAGTTTTTGCGCATGCCTAAGTGTTCAGTCTGTTGAAGAAGCTGAGCAATGTCAAAATCCATCTGGTACATTAAACTAGTCACGTGAAAAGGTGGGCTAAATTGTTGAGCTAAACCATGCACTTGTCTACGTTTGCTCGATATCAGACATAAATGCCATTCCTGCCGATGATTTAGAAATTAAACCTCAGGCACTTAAGTGTTTTGATGTTCTTTTTCTTTGAGTTATGTAACACAAATAGGCCTAAAAAGGTTATTGGTCAAACACGAAATAATCAGAAGCATCTTTTCTAAGTATCCATGCTGGGTAACCCAAAACATGACACTTTGTATGATTCTTTTGGAGCATGTGATCGTCAAAATGAAATATTTTTACTTGTACAAGTTTCTTTTGACCTTTTGACTTCTGGTGACTTCATTTGCATATTAATTCGCATAATCTATGTGTGTATTATAGATGACTTAAATACAAACATTTTAAGGTATATCTTGTTGTTCTGTGATATATATATATACCAAGATACAGCAATTTATGTTTCCCCTACCCCTGAAACATACAACCAGCTGAGCGGAAAATAGGCGTGGCTTATGACGTCATTTTCTCGGTTACTGCCGGGGTAGCAAAAGTCTACCCAGACTTTTTTGATATGTCCAATTTGTTCAACGAAAAGGAGAATGAGAGCAGAGAATCGTGGCTGGGTCATTGTAGAACGAAGTTTAGACTTGACAATGCTCATTTTAGAGAATGTTCGTTCAGCAGATGCAGAAGTAAGAGGAATTGTGGCCAGTCCTGTAAAGACGCGTGAGGCAAGGAAAATTTTTTTTTTATTTTGTTTGCCAATCAACAGGGCCATGGCCCCCTTGTGCCCCCCCTTAGCTACGCCAGTGCAGGAGGGTTACTGACTTCTATCAGAGATGGAACTACATCCTTTCTTAGCCTCTTAAATTTTTTGACCTACCCTTGTATTTTTAATAAAGGTGGAAGGAATCGGGTGAAGGAATTATGGAAAATAAGGTAAAATACAGACAGTTTGAATTTTTTATTAGCAAAATTATTCAGCATGTGTTGGTTTAGTTTTGATATTGTCATAAGCAATAATGATATACTGCAGTGCCCAGCAGTAAATATTTCTCAAACGTATTTTTCTGTTTATGTATGTTTCATGAAATCAAGCCTGGTACATGATACCCATGAGTCACACGACGAGAAGCAGAGAAAACAATGTATTTTATTAATTTCCCATACTAATAATAGTTATATTTTTAAATAGATACAGCATATCACATTTCAAAGCAGCCAGTAATTTTTACTTTTGTCAGCTAGACACATAAATTTAGATGCCTCAAAATGATCCTCGCAAATTAGCAGATATTTGCATTGGCTGTATTTTAACCCGTCAATGTCGGCTCTTCTCATGTTGCAGATCCACTTCCGAAGTCTATGTACATGATCATCTACATGTGTCATGTAATGATGTGGTGTATTAATTATTTACAAATTGCATATCGTTTAAACTGGTATTTTTCACAGAACAAAGGGCAGCAGAATTACACAGATCACCGAACCAAGTAGTGTTTTGCCTAATTTTTAACTGTTAGCTTCACAAGATTGTATCTTGTATTAGTTTACATTGATACTATGATTACATATGATTAAACAATCAATAAGTACAGTCTCTGTTCGTGTGCACAGCAGTCAGTGAGTCACTGCATCTGTCACTGCCGTCCTAACGAATTTATTATTTGCAAACGTATATAACATGCAACACGTGATAAATCTAGTACCTATCATGCTCTGTGGGAAACTCTGGTGAAAAATATATCTGGGTATATATTTATATATATTGTAGGCGCGTGATTCGCGCTACCTTAGTAGAAGGTTTGTAGTAGACTGATAGAGATAAGACAAGACAAGAAGTAGCGTTCACTAGTGTTTTACTCAATCTCTAATACAATACACGAGGTCTCCGTGTACTACCGAAAGCAAGAGCGGTTACTACACACTACACCTTCCTCAGCGGGTGGCTGGCACAAGAGCCTGTCCCGAGAACGGTGGCTTCCGCTATTTATACGGCGCGCCCCGGTCCGCGATCGCGTTTCTTCCCTTACGTCACAGATCCCATTTAGCTCCCAACTCTGACCAACCGGCCCTCCCGAACACGGCAGAGTGCGGATTCCCACTGCTATCTCCCGCTACCTAATATGGTGGCGGGATGCGCGGTGCGCACGCCACTTGGCGTGACTCCATGGTCGATTCTGGCCCTGATGTCATAGATCATCTGGTCAGTGTCTAGGCTGTCACAATGCGCAAGGATTCAGGGATTAATGACCAGGCTTCCAGCTACACGGCGCCATCTCGAGTCACGGCTTTCTTTGACCTCCGTCTC